CTGTATATTGTAAAACTCGACTCTTACCCTGCTTTCCACTCACGATCATGAGGAAAAAGGAAAACGCACAGTAACTACTTCTGTTCACCTCGTCTTGTCAACTGTCACGTCATTAACCCTGTTAGAAGCATCTGCTAAAAACACACATAGGAGTTACCTCAAAGAAAAGTATGCCTAATGGTTCAGATAAACACGCAAAGTCAAACTAATGCCTCTCTTTGGTTACAGTTCATGTAATCACAAAAGCTTCCACTTGTGGACATCTTTCATTCCAGAGTATCTCCTCCATCCTGAGCCTACAGAACTGGGTCTCTTTCTGCAAGCACGAAGGTAGCCGGGACATTTCCAGCCTCCTATAGAGCTCCTCTGTTTTAGTGCCAGACCCCAGGACTGCACAGATGAAACAACATCTCTACTCAGTTGTAGGAGCAAGCTACCTGAACTCAAAAAACTTACGGCACATACCTTGGATGGAAGAAACTGTCAGGAATTCATTAATCAACTTTCTGTTTTTGAATCTGATGCTTTAATCTGATCTACAGTGTAGACAGTAGTTAAAAAAATTGAACGGCTAGATATGCGTCTGTAGAAAAATGTATTGCAAGATAATCTTTTGGAGGACAATCCTACAGAAAGATGTTTCAGCTGAGGTCTGAAGGCCAGACTTCCCATATCTGATAAAACCAGTGGTAAATGAACAGTTGGAAACTCTTCACATTGCCTTTAGGGTGAATCAATCCCCTTGTGTCTTAAAATTCATCCTGGAACGTGGTCCAGTAGACTGCAACCCTTCCTCAAACAAGTATCTTTAGCTGAACATCCTGTGGAAGCATTACCTTGTTCAAACTGGCTATGAACTGACTATGAAAACTGCTGAAATCCATGAGAGCTGACTGATGAACCAAACCTATGAGCTGATGCCACGTGTGCAATTTCTCCTTCATTACTCCTCAACGTTTGTACTTGTTGAGCATGAAATGGGGTGGGGTATGGGAATGGGCAAAGGATGTGTAAGAGCCTAGAACTAAACACAGGACAGAGGGTACCTGAACAGACATTTTAACTGAGATAAATAGTAAAATAACACAGCATGAAGTAAAATGAGAGGGGTAACATCCTGCAAGAGATACGCATTTTCAAAGGAATCAGATGCCTGTCTAGGTTAGCTGAAGGAACTGGACCAAGTTTGTGATTTAAGCACCTCTATGTTCATATATTTGCTGTGGATAGGCATATAAAACTTAACTGCCTTTGGTCTTTTCCTGGATAAAAACTAATTTGATCAGTCCAGGTAACTGACCAGTATTTTATGTAGCCCTTCGATAAACAGGGCTCAATCTGTTTATTCTGAGACTTAAAGACTGGCTTTGAACAATCATCTGTTCCCTACTATTTCTACCAGACACAGTACCTGACTGAGCTGGACGCTATTCCTTTTGTTGCAAGTCCTCCCAAGAATATTTTTCTGGGGAGTAAGTGCCTCTTGGTGTCTTCAGTGACATGAAAATATAAAAAAAAAAAACCATAAAAACGACTCTAATTGGTTCAATTAAAGGACTAAACCCCTGGCCTATTTTGTTATTTTGGAAAACAGCAGAGAAGGACAGACTGTTTCCTTCTCTCACAAAGTCCTGTCTAACGATTACACGTGGGGGAGATGAGGTGGAACTCTGGATCATCACTTTGTCTGCAGCAGAGAACAAGAGCCTAGTTTCCATCTAAAGGGAATGTGATCAATCTCTCTTCTCCTATAGATATACTGCAACTGTTTCTGATAACTGCAGAAAAGAAAAGTCAAGTCAAATTGTTGGAGCCTAAGGAGAAAAAAAGACCAAGATCCAGAAAATAAAATAATTTCAATATAAAAGTAATTCTTTTCATACAGTTTCTGCTGAGACAGGTTCTCTTCAATTTTAAATTATCTAACAGAACACATTTCTTTCTCTGCTTGTTTCCCATGAAAGAAAGCTTCTCAACGTAGCATGTTTATGAAATATTCTTGCTGAAAACATTAAGACCACAGATAAAATACAAAAGCAAATATTACCCTGCCAAACTCAAATAAAGGGTTTAAAAGATATTCTGTATTAATAGTCAGGCACTTTGCTTTATGTAACATATTTAGTAAAGTCAAAATAATACTTTTCAGAAATTGGTTTTGCATAATAACTGCAAGCTCGCCGAGTATGCACAATGTGCTTTTAGTGCTGCATACTCCTAGCACCCAAACCCTAGAAGCTTTCACATGAACAGTACCTACTACAGCGATGAGTCACTTGGATTATTGTAGCGATCTTATTTGGTCTTTCATCCAAACAAAAATATCTTTACAAGACTAGGCCCTTCGCTACGAGCAGTGTAGTAATGCATGATGGAATTCCATATTGTTTGAAATATTATAGGATCTTGCTTGTAAAATCTACCTTACAGTGCATTACTGGACAAATGCAGTACACAGCTATGCTCAAGAAGCAGCTCCTTATGACTTTCATTGATGAGTTACTCCAGAGTTAAAAGCACATATAAGCTGTTCACTTTTAGGGAAAAGAAAGCAAGCACCAAATGTGCTCAACAAGAGACAGCAAGGTAAGGTAGTGGTGAGGATTGTTTTAGGTCTTGTTCCCCTGCAGCTAGGTACTGCCAGTATGAGAAATCCATAGAAACACAGTGGCAGCAACTTATAAAATCCTTATTTCACATTCCCATTCTTTACAAACATGCAGTGGTGACACTTTGTCATGGAAATGCTCAGAAAGCGTGACTGCATACAGTAAACTGCTCTAGGTTGGCATATGGCGCAGTTTTAATGGAATGCTTAGTACTCATTTCACTTTACCCCATCTTTGGCACACAAGAACCTGCACGCTCATATTACTGTGCTGTTCAGATAATTGGCACAACTGAATCAAATGTGCATATCTGTGGACACATGGCACATACACACCATAGGGAAGGGAAATTTCCTGTAAAAAAAGGCAGTGCCTGTGTTATACAAGCTACCCTGTTAAGATATGTATTTCACTGGCACTTCAACTGCTACAAAAACTATGATACGATACCAGTGCTCAGGCATCACGCCATCAGATCAGAAATGCGTAATGTGTAGGTGGCTAGATCATATGTATTTAATGCCATGATTTTCAGCTGGGAATATTAAACAATTTCTGCCAGTATTTTCCATACTTAAAATGAAGATTTGCCTTCTGCAACCTAGTTTTAAGTTGCATCAAGAAGATACCGTGAATTAAACCAATGTCCAATTCCAATCAAGATAAATTCATGGTTCTCCGAATTGCGAATACAGAAAGCTATGAGTCAAATCTTCTATTAGCTGTCATTCAGAAGCAAATACAAAGTAGTCCTATTTCAGGGGTCTTGTTAAGTGGAAGCAAACTTCTGTGTAAGATAACTGAAAATGGATTAAAAATAACGTGATGTTCTCTTTCTAAACCAAGTCTGTTCAAATTTGGCAAACCAGCGAGTGCAATTGTTGAGAAGATTTGTCCCCTGAAGCAAGCAGAAATTATGCTTAAGAGTTCTACCATTAGTTCAGTGAGAAACTGAAGCAGGTGTTTTATCTCAAGTGAATCTACAGTGAAAATACTGGTATAAAAAACACGTGAAATATATAAAAACTGTAAGGTGTCATTTGTATGTGCATGTAAATATTTACAAATAAGATTCTGTTTCTACTGTACAAAACAACTGCATATACTAAACAGAAGAATGAGTTGCAATTAGAACGTGTGCTCTGCTCTTCCAAGCTGCTCCATGAGGAGGACTTCTGTATACACAAGGAATCTATTTTTCTCTAGAGGCCATGCAGAGAAGAGCACTCTCAACATGGAGTATCTTCTTCTGTCATGTAGCACATCACAGACAGGACAGGCAAAAAGACAACTGCTTTCTGCAGCCAGCACGTGCACCCCTTCCCACCTATGGTGTGGGTAAGCCACTGCCTGTACCAGTCAGCACACTATGCCTGCAGAAAGGAGCAGCAGCTTCCTAAACACTTTGCTTCCCCAAGTTCACTGGCGCCTGCACAATATGTGCAACCTCGACCTGCAATGGCAGGTTTCCTAAACAGACTGCTGCCAACAGCATCTTTATTTCTGCATGTCATACGGGCTTTGGAGTGCAGTGGGAGTAGTCACCCTGAAGACGTATGGATTCCTCAAGTCATCAATGTTAGAACTCCTGCTAACATTAAAGGGGCCAGATTTAATCCACAACATGCTTCTTTCTCCTTCAGAAACATACTAATGTACACGAACACAAGTTTACAAAGGAGTCACAGCCTTGCATCTATCTTTTGTACTTGATCCCAAGATAGAACTCTCACTTTGTCTTATCTACCCACGATTAGTTCACTCTATAGTAGCTTCTGAAAAGTTGATTTGGTTCCTTTTTGCTGTACGCAACAGGCATAAGAAAGCAAGTAATTATCTACAATACTAGCAGGTGTGTATTAAGCAGAAATTACATAAAGGTACTGAACTGCAAGTATCTCCACAGAATTTGAAGTGGAAAACTCAGCTGACTTTTAAGCAGAGCAAAGACAATGGAAGACTACAGAAAACATAGGTATTAGTATGCTCCCTGCAACATTACCAGAAACCTCAACAAGCACTCTATACTAGAACCATCACACTCGCAATACCTAAGGCAACAATCACTTTTTTATCTAGCACTATTGGGTGTTAAGAAAAAGAAGACTTGAACACTTATTTTGGTCAGACTGCTTATCTTCATTATTGCACTACCTCTAATTTTATAGAAATATGAATGAACAATTCTATAATGAATGCTAAACTCCAGATAGTCACGAGAGAGATCATGTAATTAAAGCTACGTGTTAATTTTATTTTAGCATACCATACACTTCCAACCAACCTTAAAAGGAAATGCTCACTACAAAAGGCAATAATTATGTAAAATTTTGCCTTGGTTGGAATCTTACAGTGAAATTTATTTGTTCTGTAGACACGTTTTTGACTTCCTGTTTATGGAGGCTTTATTAGAAGAAATGTAATCTGACCAGAAGCATTTTCCAAAAATAGCTAGTATCCCAAATTCCAATCTTTAGGGAAACCATAGAAAAGTGCAAACACAAAGGCTGCGATGCTTTTAAGCAACATTAGCAGAATCTCTTTAGAAGATTTAAAATTACTGTCTTGAACTACCATGTCCTATATCTCCTGTTAAAGGTAATTAATCTTCATTCACTGCAAAAGGACTGTTGCACACTCATGAGTGAGCTATACCTAGACCCATGAGAAGCTTATCAAGAAAAATGTAGTGGCCCAATCACCACTCTTCTAAATATATTTTCTATACAAAATATTTTCAAGGTATAATCCTTAGGTATTTGTACAGTACTCTATGATTTAAACAACAATATTCAGTAAAATAGTAAGTCTGTGAAACTGCAACACCACATGGAATGAGCACTCTGCCATTTTGCTAGTGTAATCAGTATTAGGACCAGAAAAATTTTCTAACACGCAAGCAAAAATATTCCATAGTTTTTGAATCTTGACTGTACACTTCATGATTTTGGCTATGATTTGCAGCACACTCGTAAGATACACAAATATCTTATGCACGTTTCAGTAGCAGAATGGCACTTGGCTTGCTCTAATAGGAACAACAGAGATGCAACTGACAGTTTTAAGAAAGACAATGTCCTTATTTGCATGCTGAAAATCTGGTTGTGTCCCCCTAATCCAGGCACATCCATTCATTGTGCAATCTGTCGATGGGTAAACAAATAGTGCAGGATTCGTCTCAGTGGGATCTGGCCCTTTGGTCTACCCGAAGTCAATTCTAGGTCGATACTGAAGTACCATAGGGTAAGACTAAAAATCAAAGCAAGAGAAAGACAACAACAAAAAAACAAACGAGAAAACATGAAGACATAATTCATAAAAAATACAAAGAAAATGCAATTAAAGATTGCTGTTAAGAACAACCAGACCTTACCTCTAAGACACGTGTATATGGCAATCAGTTTTATTTGTATGAAATAATTCTATACATTTCAACAGTCAAATCCATACCTGTACTGCAAATATATATTTAATCTCTAAGTCAGTTAGCTGTTGTTACTTGTCATTAATATAAAATTCCTGTATCTGCTTTTATACATTTCATAATTTATGTTCTACAACGAATACACTTGGGAGTGCTCAATCAACTCCTCTTATTTCTCTGCTGCTGTGTTTGAGGAAAAACAATCTTTTCTAAAAACTTTCTACATGCTCTCTGAAAACAAAGTCAATTTGTACATGATGTACTTTGTTTTATTTTGATGCATGCAGAGGTTCCATAGCTATACTAGTAGTTAATGGCAGTCACACTACTCTGCTATTAAAAAGCAAAAGAAAATAAAATCAGGTGAAATTGCTGCCAGCTGATTTTCTGAGAGCTGAAGGCTAACTTCTCCCCTAAATGCAAACTTCTGATCTAGTGATAATTTGGTTTTTTTAGTTCTTACTGGAAATAAAATGGCAAATCAACTGCTTGGACCCCTGAATTGGACAAAACTGTTGTGGAATGGGAGGGTTTCCAGAAAGTGCACATACCTGGAATACCTGGGCACTTGCTGCTGGAAGTTATGTTTCACTAAATGCCATTTTTTCAGTCTGTCACCGTTTCATTTAAGTTTGATGTTCATCTCTTAACTTCATTAAGATACTAGATGTTTTCTATAGCACAAAACCCAGGAAAATCTTACTGTCTCAGCAACTGAATGGGCTTAACTACCTCTCTGCCACAGGGCAGAGGAATATAGCTAATTTAAGTCTTTTTTTATTGCAGATTTGGAGCTACAAAGGATTATTACAGAAGCTACCATTAAAACCAGAAATGTTTTACTGCATCCTTCAGATGCAATACAGATGAACTCCGGTGACCAAAATACAAAGGTATCACTGCAGAGACCTATAGAGCTTCATAAACTTTCCATGCCATCACCAGAACTAAACGTGATTGTACTTGCTGGGGATTTACCAACTGTAGTGCAAAGAAATCACAACACGAACTCAGAGGTGTTTAACAGCAGCAGGAGCATTTAGGAGAGAAGACAGAGAGCACCATGTGTGGTCTGCACGTGCAATTAGCAAACATACGTTGGTAGTATCATAAATTGCTTGGTCTCTGATTTTTTTTTGCATAGGATAAGACTACCTTATTATTTAAATGCTATTTCACATGTTTTTCACTTTGATTACATGAATTGTCTCTAAAAGTACTCAGCTCTAATCGGAAGTGCACAAAGGCAGAGACAGAGCAGTCACCTCACTGAAATTGCCACGTAAACCAGAGAGGCTCAGTGTTTTTGCAAACAAAATTACTAACCAACTGTATAAATAAAATGCACTATGCTGGAACACTTTTAAGCACTGAAGGAGGCATGACTGCAGCAGGTCAATCCTATCGATGGTGGGCAGTGACCCTCTACCATTAACTTTAATTTTTTGCTCAAGCAAAAACATTATTTCAAAGTTCCAAAGTAACTTTTACAAATTGATTCCAATGAAAATTCTCAGTGAGGAAACTGAAAAATTGTTTCATACAGGTATGAACCAGTTTGATCAGTTACATTTAGAAATCAACTTCAGTCTGCAGGTTCTGGAAGTTTTTAGTTTGTTATATTCTAGACATAAGGCATTATTTCACTTCTAATTTTAAAAGATGTGAAAGGAACATAGTATTAGAAAAATCTAACGTTCTTTACTCCATTAAAACAAACATATGAATTGCCATAAAGAGATGAAACCAATGTAGCCTCTTTTGATGCACATTCTTCAGTTCTGATCCCTTGTCAGGGACTGGCCAGTGCTACTAGTTAGAACTCTGAGCTAGGAAGAGGCAGATAATCCTTCCAGACTGATGCAGATATCAGCTTAGAGAATATTTCTCTAACAGAAAGATAAATAGGTTAATGGAAAGGAAAAAACCCAAACCCTAAACCTTTAGAATGGGTTCTACTTACTCATTCGATAAAGCTTTCTCTGAATGAACAAAAATGCTCAGGCCTTGTTCAGTTTTAGCACTCTGTCGTAAGGAATTCTAAAAACTCCACACCTCGGATTACATCTGAAGTGCTGATGGGACCTTAATGACTGTAGTATGTACAGTCGTGAGTGCCTCTTACCTGATAAAAAGTGCCATCCTGTGAGCAGACTTGCGAAGATGAGCAGTTCTGACACCGAAACTGCGAAGGAGATGATTTTCTGATCAGATAAGAGGCATCCACAGCTGGACATATACATTCACCATTCAACGTTTTTTTAAATTTTCAAAAGTAAAGCTTAGAATTAATTTACTTATCTAGAGCAGGAAAGACTTTTCTAATGAATAAATTGGTATTTTTCCTTTACTACTCTACCTCTCATAAGGTTCACAGGTGTGCCAGTAAAAGCTCATGGTGAATAGCACCAGAGCCAGAGATAATGGATTTACTTTATCTTCATCCAAAGGAAGAGATTGTTAATTAACTATCGTCACAACTTCTGTTTTGTAACAAGACCCAACACAGTTAGAGAAAACAAAATTATAAAAAAAAACGTAATTTTTACAGGTTTTAGTTTGTCACGTCTGACTTGAGGGGAGTGGTTTAAAGCTACATGAAGGAAAAGATGAACACATATCTGCCTACGCTATATGCATGTAAACGTAACTTGCAAATGCAATCCGGAGTTGCCAACTCTCACATTCACTTAATGTTAAAAACGACAATTCTGAAATTTTTGAAAAATTTAAGTCAGTAAAAATAATGTCCATTTTGTCGAGATTACGGTTACTGTTGCTTCCAAACCAATGCAACTGCTGGAACTCCATTTGTAGGCAGGAGCTGCAGGATTAAATGTCATGGAATAATTCCATTATCACTACATTTTTGCCTCAGCGTTTCCTAATAGTACAGCTAACGCTCACAAAAATAGATGTCAAGGCAAACACCCACTGGTTCCAAGGCAGCATTGGAAAAAATACTGCAGAACGTTCCCTTATTGGTGCAATATTTGGGTTTCAGCAATCTTCAAATTTCAGTGCAATGTGATTTTCGAACGTAATGAATACTTGCCTATATACATTAACTTCTCTAATTCCTATCAAAATCTATCCTTCCAAAATTTATCCCCCCCACATTACATTAAGGTAAAGCTTTAAGAAACTTGTGAACTCCACAGTGTGCTTAATCCTCTGTCTTCTCTGTTTGTGCCTCAGTGCTTTTGAGTATTATGGGAAAAAGATACCAGAAAGTTTGGAATTTTCTACAGATCAGTATATTGAGGTATGTTAAGTGCTTAACTTCAGCTGCACTCCAATATAGCCTCCACTGGTAGGGACAGACAACAAGTCTGCATATACTACAAAGCAATAAAGAGTGAAGAACAGTCGACAGCCACACACAAACAAAGGTATGAAAGAGAAGAAATGGGGATATGACTTCTAAAAACCCCATGAAACATACAAGACAATAGAAGGGCTGCTAACTCAAACTGAGTATCAAACCCGAAAGAAATGTCTTTTAATAGGTTAAATATTGCAATTTTAAAATAGACACATGCAGCAAGAAAAACCGATTTAGCTGCGTTATCTGGATACTCGTGTTATACAGCATATCCAAGAATCATGGGTACAGGACTAACAGAAACAGTAACAAAACAATGACATTTCTCCAGTATCTTTTCAGTGCTATTTTTCAGTTTAGTGACTGAATAAAACAGATTCTTGATAAAGAACTGCTGGATGCAGATTCCCCAACGACTGTAACTCAAAAAGTCACTAAAAGCAAATTTGCAGAAAAAGGACAAGTGCTTGGGTTTTCAGATACTTGATTAGAAACTCAGAGCAGAACTTGCATGTAAACTTCAAATACCCACTATTTTTAAGTTTCAGAATCTACCCAATGCACATGCTGCAGGGTTTCACTTATGGGGTTTAACGTAAGAAATCCGGAAAACATTTTTAAATATAGGGATATTTAAAGGGTCATAGAATACATTTTGGGGCAAGCCATAAAAGCATGTATATTTTCTATATTAAATATACCAAAACATAGTTTATTAATAATGTAACAGCATTTACGTTTTCGCCTCTTAGTCTCCATCTCGTCATATAGATGAATTCCATAGTATGATCCTTCCCCATGATCTCTCCATTGCATAGTACATCCAGCTTGAAATACAACAGAACCAACAGTAAGACAAAGTGATTCAAAATTTTAATGTCTAAATGAACTCTTAAGCGAGTCTCTGAGAATTAATACAAGTCCTATCATTATACAATAACGAAATCACTAGAAGACAAACTCCCTAGAATTTATCAACAATACGTGCTACCTGTTTGGAGAGAAAGCCTTGTGCTGTGTTTTGAAGGCCTTCTTGCTACATCAATGCTCTTTCAACAGATACAAACCAAGACAAAGGGATTCAAAAATTTTAATGTCTAAACGAACTCTTAAGCGAGTCTCTGAGAATTAATACAAGTCCTATCATTACAAAATAACGAAATCACTAGAAGACAAACTCCCTAGAATACAAAACAATACGTGCTACCTGTTTGGAGAGAAAGCCTTGTGCTGTGTTTTGAAGGCCTTCTTGCTACATCAATGCTCTTTCAACAGATACAAACCACAAGTACTGCAATTTTCAACTTTTTTAAATAAATGAAACAGTAATTCTAAAAAATATTTTGAAACACCTATAAATTACAAGGAAAGTCTATTTCTGAGTATACAAACGTGAGTCTTCATTCAATGAATAAAGACAAGGAAAAAAAAAGGCAATGATCTCGCTAAGAAAAATGGCAGGTTTAAAGTGTATTATTGCATCTTACTTTTACCCTCCACTGAAAATGTTAGGTAATTCTTTCATTCCTGTAGCCATAATGTTTTTCTATTTTTCAGAGAAAAAGAAACGTCAAAAACTTGAAGTACGCAGGTATTATGTAACACAATCCATAAAGGTGCCAGAGACAGATTAACTTAACCTAATTAACAAAACTAAATTACATCAAAATGGCTCATCTGCATGTCATGACACTGCGACAAGCTCCTGCGTATAGCTCTGCAATAATCTGTCCACCTAACTCAGCCCCACCCCTGACCAAAGCCGGGATGCTGCCATTTGGAATATTGTGTTTAATTCTGGGCCCTCAGTTCAAGAAGGACAGGAACTGCTGGAGAGAGTCCAGCGTAGGGCTACAAAGATGATGGAGGGAGTGGAGCATCTCCCTTATGAGGAGCGGCTGAGGGAGCTGGGGCTCTTTAGTTTGCAGAAGAGGAGACTGAGGGGAGACCTCATTCATGGTTATAAATATTTAAAGGGTGAGTGTCAGGAGGAAGGAGCCAGGCTCTGCTCTGTGATGTCCAATGACAGGACAAGGGGCAACAGGAGCAAGCAGGAGCATAGCAGGTTCAATCTGAACATGAGGACAAACCTTTTCACTGTGAGGGTGCCAGAGCATGGCCCAGGCTGCCCAGAGAGGTTGTGGAGTCTCCTTCTCTGCAGACATTCAAAACCCGCCTGGCCGTGTTCCTGTGTGACCTGGTCTGGTGATCCTGCTTTAGCAGGGGGGTTGGACTGGATGAGCTTTCGAGGTCCCTTTCAGCTCCTGAGATTCTGTGATTCTGTGATTTGTGCTAAAGGCACCGTGCAGTTCATGGAGTCACCGACTCCTGTAAGGGAACTGGCTGAAGAAATAATCTGTGCCGAGATCAAAATTCCTGTATCCCTAGCAAGAGGGAAAGCAGGGACAGAAGTCTCACACTTCCCAACTCCACCTTACATCCCAACTTCTACCACGTTTGGAAATCCCCCCAGAAACAGTCTTGGCCACATTCAAATCATTCACGGAGCAGACACTCTCTTCATCAAATGCCACCGAATTCCAGAGAAGGTGCAAAAAAAAGTATCTGCATTTTGAAAGATTCAAATGGTACCGCTCCTCACTTCTCCAGAATTATAGGGTGCTTTCTTACATCTAAAGATAACAAAACTGCAGAGTAATCTGGTGTATGGATAGTTTTCCCCAGCAGCTACTAGCCCAAAACTGTATTGAATTTTTTATTACCGCCAAGGAAAGAGAAAGCATTGATTTACTTTTTTTACATAAAAATATCAAAACCTAATGTATCTGATCCTTCGCAAGTGAGCAGCAACCTGAAGATACGAGAACTGTATCAGTTTTTCATTAGCAACTTCAGATCACTTTTCATTTAACGGCAGAAAGTGCAACTTGGAACATTGAAAGGTGCTTAGTGACTGGGATAAAAAAATATTCCTCAAGTTTTAATATGATTAAATTTCATAAAAAACTAGTACTTTGCAGGGAAATAAAAATACAAGCATTGCTTTTTCCAATGTACCTCATAAGAACTTGGAAGTTTTAACTTTAAGCTGAGAAATTTTTTGATTGTTCCCACGGTCACTCGAGTAGAACAGCGGATAAATTTCTTCATTAAACCCTAAAGCAACAGCAACGAAACAGAAAAGACATGTTAGAAAATTTGGAGCATATAAGCAATCTTTAGTGCAAGAATTGATTTTTCTTTTTTAACCAGTAACCAATTTTACTGCGCTTTCCTCTAATTCACAATGGCACCATAGGTTCCTTTGTTCACTTTTTCCAAAATTTACATGACGAGCAAGTTCATTTAACTCATCTCTTGTTCTAAAGAAATTTCCAAAAGATACAGAAGAGAGGAGAGAAAAAAACCAACCCAAACACCCAAACTACCAAAATAAGAACTTAAATGATCTGAGTGTCTGTGTTAATTACACTGGTGGTAAAAGGATGCTAAATTTCTTAGAATGTCTTCAGTCCTTGAGAGAAAAAGAAAGTAAAATTATCCTTAAATAATCTAGATGAAATACAGGGAAGCTACAAACCTGAGATGTGATCTGTTACCACAGATTCTGTGATCCAGCACCTAACAGTTCTGATTCAGTAGGAAAGCTGGAGATCTAAGACTCCTCCATAGTGAGGAAGATACAAATTTCTTACTGTATACAGCATAAACGGACTCAATGGACGTTACAGTTAACGTCAGTGGTTATAAAATGCGGCGGTTGCTGTAAGATGCTGTTCTACCGACAATAACAACAGCCCAGATGATGTTTACTACTCACTTTGACTACGTTATCTCCTGACTGCCCATTGTTGCGTAAGCAGTCTAGGCAGATAGCAATCTGTGGGTCACTCCTGTGATAGTCTTTATCTTCCTCATTCTCATCACACTCCTCATCTGCTTTGGGTTTATCAGCCTTTGGGCTTTCATCTGTAAAACATGAAGATCATATTATTTAAGTATAAAATAATTAGAAGTCACAGTACCAACAAACACGTATTTAAAGTAATACTTCATTTTCAAGAGCACGTTTTTCTTTCCAATTCGTTTTATACAATTTTAATTCAGCGCATTCTTAAACCGATGAATTTACAACTCTCTGAAAACAAAGTTGTACTACTGAAATTTTCACGGAAAGTGCAAACAACAGATTTCTATGTGACAAAACAAGATCAGGCTGATAGACCACTAATGGTTATTGCTGACTTCTGTTTGTGACCAGTGATTAAAACTCTGCACATGCATCAAGACCACGCAGCCACGCAAACCTACACTTACGGCATGGCAGTTCACTGCCAAAAAATACCGAAGTAACAAAGGTAACCAATTCATACTGACTGTCTACCTCAGTAACTTAGTGAAGACAAGTTCCTGAAATGTTACCATGGAGTAAACTGAGATTAAACTGAAGTTTCATCCACTTTCGACCTAGTTTAAGTAACATCATTGTAACATCTCCATGTATCTCTCTGCAGAAGGATTTTATAACTAAATAGCCATATACGTACTTATTCCTCTTTAAAAATAAAAAGTAATTAAAAAAAGGAGCGCTCCCCACATTACTGACAGAGCGCATACATCCTATATAACCATACACACCACGTTACCTCTCTTAACTGATGCTACTATGTGTGCTACTGACTCCTGGTTTAAAAATCCAACTCTTCAGCAAAGGTACCATCTCCTACAGTTTTAGCATAAGTTTTTAGCAAACTTTTAGCATAGCTGAACACGTGAATCTTAAGACTAGCAAGCACATCTAGATAAGGCCACAATGTTTGTAAATAATAACCATACAATGAAATGGAGTAATTTTTACAGATCTGGAATACAGTATGCAATAACCCTATTATGTGCATTTGTTGTAAAGATTTTTTTTGGTATCCCCAACTTACTTATTTTGATTTAAAACAAAGGCTGCTCTCTGTTGGAATAAAACATTATCACAAGTAACTTCAACAGGCTACTTGTGCATTTCCTGAAGACCTTTAACATCAATTTCTGCTGCTTTCCTACACTTACCACAGACGTTTAAAGTAATTCAGGAGAGGCTAAGATGAAAGGTAACAGAGATGAAAGGTAATAGCATTAAAACATTAACAAATATCAAGCGATGCCCAAATTTCTAGCCACAGGAGTTAGTTTGCTTTGTTCAGTTTACATATTCAAGATGAGTTTTAAGCTACATTTGTTACTTTTCTTTCTTGTAATTATAAAAGATTTGTCCACAAGTCCTTACTAGATACTGACAAATTTAGTTGAATGTCTATCATACATACATTTTGTCCTATCATCTGGCTATGAACAGCATCTGCAGTCCCAAACTACAGATTGTTTTTTCTTTCTTTTTGTGGAAGTCCAAGAAACAAATTCTTTTACTCAAGCAGGCACAGTCTACCTGTCACAAGCATTTGTCTGAGGAGTCTGCCTACGATTCACAGATTCTTCAGCAACGCAAACACATCCACAACTTTCAACAGTTATCACTGCTGAGTAACGGAAGAAGATTTAGTTACGCAGTTTGAAAAGTCTTGAAAGGCAAACAAACTACAGAAACAGGAAAATTAGCACATTTCCAATCATAAAATTATTCCAAAAACAGGGACACACACAAAAAAGATTGCATCTTTCAAGGTATTTATTCTGATAGAAATTCAAATGCTCCTCTGCGTAAACGGCACCAGACTATTTACCAAAAAAATCCTTGTAGATATTAGAATTAATGACGTTTGTACAGGCAGCCTGCGGAAATCAATGTGATGGTCCATTACAGACATAATATTAAAGTTTAATATGACACAAGGTAAAAAAGAAAGAGAAAGGAAAAAACAAATTTTAAGCTCACCAAAAAGCATTCTCCAGGCCAAAAGCATCAAGCCAGAACAGACAACAGGAAAAACAAACCAACTCCTCTCTCACTGCCACCCCTCTTCCCTGAAGGCAAAATTTAGTGTCTCTTTTTTTCCCCATCTTTCTTGCAAACCTTGGAAACTGTCTGCTTCCTGTGCTTTTCTCAGCTGTTTGGCATAAAACTGATCACCAGAGCATAAATCAATGTAAAGCTGTTTGCCCTCTTTCTTCTCCAGCTCAGACTGGAGAGGCACAATGAAGGTTTTTTTCCTCTGTACCACAGAATGTTTCCAATCATCATCCATGAATTCTCTCTAGTAACCACTCTCCTCATGGAGCCACCAACGCCTGAGATATGTCTTGGTGGTGGTTTTTTGTTTTGTTTTCTTTTTTTCCTTTTCGGATATGTGAAAATTGAAAGTTTTGGGATTTTTTTTCACAGATCTTAGATAATAACAGATCATTAGGAGTTGGAAGGGACCTCAA